GATGGGTTCGAAACAATGAGAGCTGACCACTAAGGCGGTATGTTGAGTGATGGGAACATACATGGAAATAAGGTCAGAGAGGTAGGACATCGCCCACCCACACAAGGAGCTTGGTCTTCCCCCTCTCCCCCCAAACTTTTCTTATTGTAGTAAAATAGAGGAGCATTAATCTACATGCAGTGGAAGCCACTGGAAGGGCAGTTCCATTTCTTTCATTTCTCTATCCTCTGCACCCAGCATGTAGTTGAACTAAATTCTAGCTTACAGGTTTTTAGTTTGATCAAAATAATTCCAATAACAGAAAGATCACTTGAAAGTGAATATTTTTCTCTAATGCTCCAGTGTAAAGAGATAAGACCTTTTCCTTGACAACAGGCAAAGGGGTTTCTCACAATTCTTTGATCAGACCCAACTTCAGAAACTAAGTTTACAGGTAAAGAAAGTCAGGAGCACGTGCAAAACTGCAGATATGATGACTGCTAATTAGCTGCATCAAATGACTCTTGGCATTCCTAATTTTCACCTTTTTGTAACAATTCAATTCATTCCAAGGTTTTACCAGAGTAGACAGGCATGAAATGAATTCTCCACGGTAGGTTACCAATGGCAGAGAAATTGCGAGCTCTGAAATGGCTGGAAGAAATCATATGAGCTCTGGCTCTTGCTTTTCCCTAAACTCTGTGGATTCTGTCAACATTAATTCTGTGAAATATGTAGGCTGCACTATTTGGGAGAAATGAACAGTTTTTATTTTCTCTAAGCCTTATCTGTATTCCATCTTTTCCCCAAGCGCCCCTGTCTTGGGGAGGGTATTCACTAGTGGGCACGTAGAGTAGTGGATGAGAACTAGGAATCAGGATGGCTGGGTGCTAGTTGGGTCTGGATGTGGGGAAAAGATAACGAGACAGGGGGTTTCAGCTGACAGTGTGCTCTTTGGAAATCAGTAGTGTGATGGGGCTGCCATCATCTGACCTGCTGAGTTTTTCTTCTGCTCTCATTCTCTGATACTTCCCCATATGCCAGCCGCATGTTACTGTTTGCACTCCATTAAAAAAGTCATACTATTTCCTCCCATTGGGTCTTAAAATTTTTTTTAATTATTTATTTTTGAGAGAGAGAGAGAGAAGAGAAAAAGAGAGAGAGAGAATCAGAGAGAGAGGGGGACAGAGAATTCCAAGCAGGCTCCACGCTGACAGCAGAGAGCCCCATGTGGAGCTCCAACTCAGGAACTGTGAGAGCATGACCTGAGCCAAAGTCGGTTGCTTAACTGACTGAGCCACCCAGTTTATCATGTTTAGCTCCCTCCTCCTCCCATTGGGTCTTTTAAAATGCACCATTCCTTCTACCTGGAACATCCTTACTCCGATTCTCTGTCCTTTAAAATGCAAAGCTTTCTCTGTCAAGCTTCCTGTGTTGGGCATAAACCTTCTGTGCCTTCTCAGATTCTCTTGAGCACCCCCTTCTTTCCCATGTGGTTGCACACTTTCTGGATAATGTCATCCCCTCCTTCGCTGGCATCCTTATGAGATCCCTGAGCTGGTTGGAGTCTGAACTGAAGCCCCGGACTTGCATTACCTTTATGCATCACATGCTAAGCCCCTCCCCTTTCAAACTTCTGAGGCTGAGGCTGAAAAGTCCTACTGTTTGGATATGGGATCTGGTTTCTTGATTGGATGCTGAGGGGCTAGAAGATGCACTTGAGGTATAGAGGAATCAACTCAATGTGGGGTGACCCTGCACTAGTGGAAGCCAGCAGATTAGAGAGAGGAGCAGGGTCAATAAATTTCAACTCTTTTTGCCCTTTTTTGGGTTGCCCAGAGATGTAGTTTGTCTTCGCGAACTTTCCAGAGAAATCTTGCAAGGTGAGTAAACCTGCCTCTTGAGTTGCCAGCTATGTGCCGCACTGTACTGTGATGTTCAGTATCTTTCTTTATTTCACACCCCCTTTCTCCCCTAACCCTTAATACCCTGGGCTTGCACCTCCTAAGTGGCAAGACTTTAATTCTTTTGGGACATCCTTCTTCTTCTTCTTCTTCTTTTTCTTCTTCTTCTTCTTCGAAAGAATCTTAAGGATTTTTTTTTCATGTTTATTTATTTGAGAGAGAGAGAAAGAGAGAGAGAGAGAAGGGAAGGGGCAGAGAGAGGACGATGAGGATCCAAAGCAGGTTCCGTGCTGACAGCAGTGAGCTCATTACAGGGCTTGAACTCACGAGTTGTGAGATCAGGACCTGAGCCAAAGTTGTTTGCTCAACCGACTGAACCACACAGGTGCCCCTTGTCTTAGGATCTTCTTGACCTCTTCCCACATGGCTTTGTTCCTTTACTGTGGGACAGAGAAGCTCTCTTAACCCATATCTTCTTAACCTACTCTTGGATTGCCCAATGCTTTCCATTTCTTCTGCAAACCACATTCTGAATGCTCATTGCCAGTAGACCTCTTGCTGGAGTCTAGATGCACTAATTCTCCCACCTGAGTTGTATGCTTATCAAGAGTCAGTTGGGAGCACTTGGGTGGCTCAGTTGGTTATGTGTCCAACTCTTAGTTTTGGCTCAGGTCATGATCTCATGACTCCTGAGTTTGAACCCTGCATTGAGCTCTGTGCTGACAGCGGGGAGCCTGCTTGGGATTCTCTGTCACCCTCTCCTTCTATCCCTCCCCCACCTCACACCCTCTGTCTCAAAAATAAATAAGTAAACATTGAAAAAAGGAGTCAGTTATACTTTCTCTAATTTTGTGTACACGATGTCCACTTATTATTATCATCGTATGATGTAATTAAATGTTACATAAGCCAATACATTATGGATGTGAAAATAATAAAAAGGGTTGTTTCTATGAAAATCCAGTTGAATAATTTAGATTTTAGGGAATGCTGCTTAAGAAGGAACTAGAATCAAATGACATGTGGTAAGATAATTGTAAAAGTTTAGGGGAACTCTGTAGCATCTAGAAGGACTCTAATCATATGGCTTTCCAAGTATGTTTAAATTCTTATTCTACTTTAAAAACAAATCCTAAAACTAATTATCAGAGCTGATAGATTATTGGTGTTTTCTCATGCAAGAAAAAATACACAGAATGCCGATTTGTGGACCAATAGTTACAGAAAAGGCCTTGGCCCTGCACCAAAAGATTGGCCTCTCTGAAAGCTTTACAGCAGTTGATGGATGACTTTTACGTAGGAAAAAGCCGTGCTACCCAGGCATTGGGCCCTGGAGTGCACAAATTACCTGTGGATCAATCTGCTGCTTGAAAATTTACAGAGGAGTTAAAGTCACTTATCAATAGGGAAAATTTTCTTAGGGAAAAACTCTCCAATAGAGTTGAAACAGTTCTAAATTATAAGGTGTTTTCCAGAAACCATGGTAGAAAAGGTGAAGCGAGTGCCAGTATGTATGAAGTCCCAGCAAAGATTCTCAGCAGCTGCCCATGGCAATGCTTCTGGAATTCCAAATTCTGACTTTTTATTAGTGGCAAAAGTAAAAGTCTCCAAGATTTAAGAGATATAAATTGTTTTTTTCGAGATAGGAACTCTTCACAAAAATCAGTGTTGACAGACCCTGAATTATTCTATAAATTGATATTTTTTTTGCCCCATGAATTTATTCATTCTGTGAGGAAACACTTGAAGAAAATAGACATCTGGGGGTGCCTGGGTGGCGTCCGACGTCAGCTCAGATCATAATCTCACGGTTCGTGAGTTCGAGCCCTGTACCAGGCTGTCAGTATAAGGCCCACTTCGGATTCTGTGTCTCCCTCTCTCTGTGCCCCTCCCTGCTTGTGCTCTCTCTCTTTCAAAAATAAATAAACATTAAAAAGAGTTAAAAAAAAAGAGACAATAGACATCTGGAAACCTAATTCCTTATCAATGTTTTTCAAATTGTGGTCTTGATTCTAGTGGGGGAGGATCATAAAATTTACTGGGAGAAAGATTTTAAAAAATGAAATAGAATAAAGCAGAATGGAAAATATCAGTGTGCATTGTGTGCTGTGAAGGCATTTCATGAGAATTGTTCTTCTATGTATGTATGTGTGAGTGTGGCATGTATGTTATACGTGATAGGAAATTTCTAACTGTTGTAAAATTTCTTTTGCCTTGTATTACTGGCAAAAACTTTGAAAGCCTGTGTTATAGAATGTTTTGGTTATGAATAAAGAAAGTGATTTAAATAAGCGCCAGGTTTTTATAACAGAATGCATTTCTTTGTTCCAAGGTAGGGATCAAGGGGCTATGAAATGTTTTTAAAAATAATATTGGAGTTTCATTTTAGGAGAAACAAAAGACAAGAATAGAGGTTACATACAATCATTAAAAATTGTTAACATTAAAGGAGATCTTTTTTCTTTTTTCCCCCCAAAGTAGCAGTTAGTGGGGAGTGAAACTCCCAGTTCGACATTTACTAAATCTCAGAGAAGGGAAAAATGTTGCCTGAGGTTGACAGTATTGGAAAAACTCTGAACTACAAGACAATAATTAAGAACATGGTTTAGTAACCTATCCCAGACAAATTGGCGGTTCCAATGATTTACAGACAGATGATATATAACAATGAACTAATGATTTCTATTTATTGCAGTATAAACTTAGAATCAGGGAAGAAGTCCTTCAGGCTATGACAGAAACAGACAAGTCAAAAAACGAAGAATACAGGGAAAAGGATGTGTGATATCAAACCTAGAGGCCAAATCTCATCATTCAGAAGCCAAAGCGGCCCTGGGAGGAGTTTGTTATATTGAATTGCTAGTCAACTATGTTATGACATACAAAAAACGTACATGCTTCAAAAATATGCTCCAAAACCTGTGTTTCTTTTTCTATTCAACTTTCAAACATTGATTTTATTAAATGAATTAATATTATGTATATTAAATGAAAGTAAAAATATGTACAGTTTACATGCATCATTTTGATGATTCTCCATTTTAATTGACTTTCCATTGATGTGATCAATACAAGGTTTTCCACTGGCCTTGTTGATCTTTCTGCCTTTCATGCTAGGGCCTGATGTCACTGAAATGGGCAGATTCTGGATTCAGACCTCCTGGTGGGACCCTACCTCCCCAAACCACCCACTGATGAGACCTTGGACACGCAACTCAGTCTCTCTGAGCCCGAGTTCTCCTTTTGGAAGGATGGGGCTGGGATATCATTCAACTTCATTGGATTAAAGCCCAGGTAATGTATGTATGTAAAGCTCTAAGCATAGGGTCAGGTACACAGTAGATAATCAATGATAGTTTTCCCCACTATGATGTCTTAAATTTACCATAAATGTAATCAGTATTATCTTTTATAATTTCAAAACATTTTTTCCAGCATAAGTTTTAGAGTGCCTGGCATGGGCTAAACATCATTCTCCTTGCTCCCAGAATCTCAGGATTTTTCTCAGAATAGTAACAGTCAAAAATGATAACATTAGCTTATGTTTTCATGGCATTTTATAACTTTTAAATTCCACATGAGTGACACAATAGGCCTGATTTTCCGGGTTTCATAGTTCAGGATGACAAGACTCAGAGAGGTTAATTTACTCACCCAAGGTCACCCAGCTCGTGGATGGGGAGAGAGGACTGACCCCAGATACCCTGACACCAAGGCTGGTTCCTTCCAACCAATGTTGTCCTGTGTATAGTCCCGTGTGTGAGCTAACGATGCGCCGCATGGAAAAAGCAGCCTTCCCTGAGAACCTGGAAACTGGTCCAACTTGGAGAAATCTCATTATCACTTTTTGAAGCTTTACCCTGACGGCATGTTAAGTTGTATAATTTTTCTGGATTTGGATCTCGGTTGGGACGCTGGTGATTGGCACGTACTGTGTCTCATTCGGGAAAAATTTCCCTCAACCCATATTAAAAGACTGGAAAAGAAAAACAAAACAAAACCCCTTTGAATAAAAGGCATTTAGGGACTGTACTGCTATTTGACCTACAAAGAGAATGACAATGATTCAGTAAGTTTATTATCTAATTTTTTGTTTTTAAGACCTAAGGATTTATGCCATCTGGACCCCTTGATTGGTCTCTGTTCAGTTTCTCCATGAAGCCCCTTACTCCTTTTAGCCATAGCGGAAATAAAGCCCACAGCTGGGCTTTTCTTATTGTCCACATATACAACAGTTGCTGACTTTTTTTATTATTATTATTTCGGTTTATTATTTCGGATTTCGGTTGCTTGGAAATTTGTGACGTTAGTGATGTTTGCTACTTTTTATCTTGATATATATTTTTTAATCCCATCTAAATTTTCTACATTGTTGGCTGGGGTCAAATCATCCTGCATTTTTGCTGCTTTGTTTGCTTTCCCAGGCCTTCCTAGATTTGGAAAGCTTAATTTATTCTTTTCTCTGTTTTTATTATGCTCACTTTCACCCTTAAAAGAATCAAAATCTCATCCAGAAACAACTTGCTGGCTCCCTCCTAGAATTTATATGGTTTTAGGAGAGCAGCAAAGTGATTTAATAAAACGGAAGTTCTTTTATGAAAGTGTTTTTGCCATTGTCTGTGTTCATTTCTGTTCTGGTGTTTTCACCCCGTCACACTACAGCATGAACCCAGCTAGACCCGGGTTTGAGTCCCCAGCTCCTTTTCCATTCTTGTGTGTTCTTAGGGGCCTGGAAGGAATGTTTCTAGGAAGGAATTTCCCATGTCCTCTCCATTGTTTAGGGTGGCCTGCTCTCTTCACTCATGTTCTAGAATGATCCCTTGCATATGGCCATTTAGGGAGTGGTGAGGGAAAGTCAGGGTCAAGATAAACACAAGGAGGAAGGAGTAGGAGCATTTAGGAAAGACTGTTTCCCTCAACAGCACACAATCAGGTTAAACACAGAGGCAAGTGGGGAGGATTTGGGTGCACCTCAAGTCCACAAGAGAGGTGGTTAGAGCTTAAAGTTAAAAGCCGTGGTTTTCCAGAATAAAGACTCCCCCAGATCTTAAGGACCCAAACCATTTGGGGTCCACCTATCTTCACTTGTAACTTAGAATTAACATTTGTCTTGAAAATGCACCACGCAGCCTTTTCTGGAGGATGAGATGTTTAGGAATTTTTCTGCAGTGGTAGACATTAGTGACTCTTTTTGTATATATAGAGCCTTTGAACACCCTTCATCTATTTGGAAGATTCCACGCTGTAGAGTTTATTCCTCCTAAGGTAGAAACCAGAAGTCTCTTCCCCAGACTCCCTTATAGCTTTGGTACATTCACGTTAGCAAAAATCTCTCTGCAGGGGTGCCTGGATGGCTCTGTCAGTTAAGTTTCTGACTCTTGGTTTTGGCTCAGGTCATGATTTCATGGTTCGTGAGTTCAAGCCCCACATCGGTGCAGAGCCTGCTTGGGGTTCTCCCTCTCCTTCTTTCTCTGTCCCTCCCCTGCTTGCTCTCTCTGTCTCTCAAAATAAATAAATAAACTTCAAAAAAATTTCATAAAATCTATCTGCAGACGGCCTGTCAATTAGAAGCCAGTGTACCCAAAATGTGGGGTCCCAAAGAATCCGTGCTGTGAGGATGGCACAGATGTATCCAGGATCCAGGGACCACAGGGGCCGCAGGGGTGGAGTTCCTGGTGGTGGTAGAGGCTGGGGGCCAGTATTGCAAATTATAGTGCTCTTTCTGTGGGTTTCTAGCTGCAGTGGGGTTACAAAGTGATTTGGGTTTATTCCTGGGGGTGTCACCTTTACTTGGTTTCCACAGTGATAAGAACAGAGCTGCTCATGGAAACTCCTAGAATCAGTAGCTAGTTGTCCCATGAATTTAAGTCCCGAGCTGATCAGACAAGATTCTGCCAGATGTAAGTCCCCAGTTCTATGACAACACACAGGAGGGGCATTCTAGCAGCCAAAGGGGTAAAGACAAAAGGGCAGGGAAAGAGGCTTCTAGGTGGAGGTGGGGGGGGGGCGGCAACAAGAGCAACAAGAGAGAAGAGAAAGCTCCAAACCATCTGGCCAGGAGAAAGGTGAATGCAAGCTGGTGGCCTAGAGGGCTTCACATGGGCTTCGGGCTGTGCTCTTGCGGCCTGTTGTGGTGTTGCATAATTATTGACATGGAAAGTTGTTTACAGTATGTTCTTAAATGATAAAAGCAGGTTACAGAGCAGTAAATGCAATATGAAATGGTTTTTGTGTAGTATAGATGTACATACACATGCATGCATAAATGTGTGTATTATGTGTATGTATGGATAGTTATGGTATATACACACATAAAAATACTTAATATTAGGTTGTTATATCACAGGCGACATTTAAAAAGAATCTTTTTAATTACCTAGAGTTGATGATTTGCCTTAAATGAATCTAGATTATTTGTGTAATACAAATAAAAGTTAAAAGAGAGAAAAATAACATGTTCCTAAGTTGTCCTCAAACACATGACACTTTATTTCACTGAGGTCTGTTGTTGGATATTGGGTGGTGTTCATTTTTCCCTATTCTAAAAAATGTTGGCTTTAATCAAGTGGCATTTTGTTGGTTTATTCTTTCTCTTTTTTTTTGGAAGTATCTTTGAGGGGCCCCTGAGTGTCTCAGTCGCTTAAGTGTCCGGCTTTGGCTCAGGTCATGATCTCACGGTTCGTGGGTTCGAGCCCTGACAGCTCGGTGCTGACAGCTCAGCGCCTGGAGCCTGCTTCGGATTCTGGGTCTCCCTCTCTCTCTCTGCCTCTCCCCACTCACACTCTGTCTCTCACTCTCTCTTTCTCAAAAATAAATAAACAACAAAAAAAAGAAAGGTATCTTTGATTACTGAAGTGACTTGGTTTGGCTGTTCTATATCTTTTTCAATATATTTTGAAGGAAGGAATTTTTTTTTTTTTTTTTTTACATTCCCTCTCTCCTGCTTCTTTATAAAATGTCCTTGAATTTCCAGAATAGATGAAGCTCCAAGGTAAACTGGAACTCTAATTTTCTGGACATTCATGAAACGAGATAATACATGCCAAATTGCAAACGGAGCATAAGTGTTGCAAGGTGCTCTCTCCATCCTTAAGAAAAGAGAACACTTAACACAGAAACTAAAGATGAAATACCCAAACTGAAAAGGCTCTTTAAAATAGCAGACATTCTACATTTTCTCACTTGATCATCAAAACAAAACCAAACTAAACCAGAAAGAATATTTCTTTACTACACGTTCGTTTTGCCAACGCATTCCTTTATATTAAAAATGAAAAGACCTTAAAATACCCTAACAGATAGCAAAGCCTTGGAGAGCAAGTTTACATGCAGGGCTGGAGATATTCATTAAAATTGTAATTAGACTCACAATTAAATTCATTCACAGTAGAAACTTTGCTTGTAAGTGTTGCTACAGGAAGAAACCTCCGTCTGAAAATTAGTTCAGCAGTCTGAGCGATTTTAATTATGCAGAGTTGATTATCGCTAGAGAAGGAAACCTTTATTGCAGCCACAGAATGAAGACCTTCCCCCCAACACTTTTTTTTTTTTTTTTTTTGGTTTCCTGAGCTAATATGAGGTCCATATTTTGATATCCAAATGTTTCTCTAGGCAAAGAAAATGTGAGAAAATTTCCACAGCAGGACAGCCGAAATTCCAACATGGTCCCCGGCTAAATAAGATACGCAACACTACACCCTGCATCTTTTTTTCATCATACGCCTCGATCCTCGTCATTTGGTTAAGGGAAAGGCAAGGAGACAGAAATAGCATTTATTTGACATTTACTATGTGCCATCCTCTGTGACCGGCAGATTCTTTTCCCAGGTCCCCGCTTTGGATCGTTGTTCCATTTCACAGACGGAGAAACTGGTGAAGGGGAGGTGAAGTGAGTGTCCTAGAAAGGGAGCTGCATTTCAGCATTTCTCTTCCTCATTCGGTGCCCGCTCTCACACGCTGTGTTACCCTTCCCGCCGTCACCCGCTATCCTAGCAAGTGCTTGCACGCCAGCCCTGCTTTGAGCCGTGAGTCCGGGTGAGGCTGAGGGCAGCACTTCTACAGGCCCAGCCCCACTCCTCACTTTGGCCCAAACCTCAGAGGCTGCAGGACTGTGCTGGGTAGAGTGGAAATGGGGTGGAGGAGGCAGCGGGAAGATTGCCCACGTGATTTGGGAAAGTCACTTTGTCTGTCTGGAGTTCCATTTCTCCTCTGTAAAATGCTTGCTTGGTATGGGAGGCCCTCAGGGCAGCGAGATTCCAGGATTCCCTGATGTAGGAGTGTTGGCAACACTGACT